ATAAGAAGAAACCTTTCGAGCATATCCTCGAACTCGTCTCTTTTCCCGTCGAACTAACCCAAGAAGTATTGGTTTTCAACAGAACAATTTTCAAGGTTTTCCTCAAGGAAGTCAATCTCTAATTTATTCTAGTGTCCAATCATATATTGTCTTCTGTTTTTAGATGTCATCTTTTCGCGAGCTTTCGCAACATTCGCGGGTTTCATAATGTCCCCGCTGACCAAAATTACCGTGTACTCTTACCCTCGACGAACGCCTTCGATATAGCGTCACCCTTAGTGGGAACTAACACCGAATTACGAGTTTGGCTGCCATGTTTGTTCCGCGATCTGTAACTAGAAGGGTAGATTACCACCTTTCACATAAGTCAAACCCCATCTCCACTGAAAATTCAAACTTAAGAAAAATAGTGATAATTGATGAACGGAAATCGGTTACGAACCCAAGTCCAATACCCGTGAAAAGTGATGATTCAGGAGCCTTTACAGACCCTTTCGCGTTCTGCCTAAAAGAAACTTTCGCCGAAGATATTAGCAAAGATGATATGGACAAAGGAGAAGGTGAAAAAGAAGAAAAAGTGATTTCATATAGTAAAAATCAGAGGTGGCCAACACTTGGAGAACCGGTGTGCGTGATTTGTGGGCGATATGGAGCCTACATTGTGGACGAAACAGACGGAGACGTCTGCAGTTTGGAATGCAAAGCAAGACACTTAAATTGCACATCGGCAAAGAAAGATGAAGAGTTGTTGGACAGCACGGCTGAAAGCGGAGGGGCATTGAGAATGAAAGCTTTCTCAAACAAGTTACAACTTCAATACAACGAAAATCCGGTCCTAGCAAAGTTATCAGTGAGCAAGGTTGATGATATTCGAGAGGCTCTAAACATTAGGGTGAGGGGGAATAATGTAAGCAAACCTATTCTAGAATTTAAGCATTGCCAACTGACTGAAACTCTAGGAAGTAACTTGGTTCGCTGTGGATACGCTACTCCAACTCCAGTTCAAATGCAAGTTATCCCGGTGAGCCTTTGTTCCCGAGACTTATTGGTCTGTGCACACACTGGTTCAGGAAAGACAGCAGCATTTTTAGTACCAATTATTCAGAGGATATACGCAGAAGTTGGTGAGTTAGTTGAATAAAAGATAGATGTTTTGGAGAATTTCCTTTAACTCTATGATCTACTTAGCTTGTATTTATGCAGTGAACGATATCTGCAGAAAGTCTTCAGTCGCCAGTTGTTTTCCGATATGTATATTGGAAAACATAATATGTTTTCCAATAATATATAATATACAATATGTATATTACAGTATTTCAGGATGGTCTGTGCTCAGGTTTAGTTTTTCGGAGGAGAATTATAACCATATCTCTATGAAGTTCTTTTTAGTTTGGATGAACAGTTTAATTTATGCATATTTGCAGCACATTGACCCATGATCAATGATTACTCAAAGGTGGACTGAAAATGATTGATGATGCATTTTTCAACAAATCACTGCAAGCCACCTGGATCAAAATATATCTGATGCAGAAACTGTTATTAGGAAATGGAAAACCATCATCAATTTCAAACTTGGAACATATGGAGGCAACCCTGTTTTAAAAAACAGCATTGCCTCTCTATGTTTCCAAGCTCTAAATTAAAGATGGTAAAGGATGGTTAAGTCTTAACAAACAAGACTGTTAACGTAACAAGTAAAGAAAAAGAAATCATAGAAATATGGTCAGAGACTTTCACTGAAGGAACAATAATATTTTACGCCCATTTTCTGGTGTAACCTCTTTGGTAAAACTCATTGATAAGAATAAACAGTGCAACAGCATTGTATAAATGATGGCAAGATTATTTAACACAAGTAAAACATTGAATGGATGATTCTATTTCCCTTGTCAATTCCATTATGAATATGAACTTTTGAGTTGATGGTAATTTTATTTTGAATCGTCTCTACAGTAAAATGTTTGCAATGACATATTCCAAGGAGACAACTAACAATGAGAATCTCCTAAAAACAATTTTAAAAAGCCAAAAATCTTCAAGAGTTTTATACTAGAAACTATTATTGGATGAAGGCAAACAACCAACAGTATGTCAAATCCCATGGTTATTTGAGTGTAAATGGGAAAGAGCTAAAATTTCCTAAGGTGTGAGACAAGATTTTGGACCAAATCTCCTTCCACACTTGCGGGTTGCCAGTGGGTTGACCCTAGGGGATGGTGGCTGATACCCTTTTTAATTTCAGTAGCTGAAGGTGTGATGAAGAGCACAACTCTAAATGCATGTTGTCCCAAAGAGATAATGCTTCTTACTTGTTGTCTTACACTGAATAGAAGGTGTATGAAATGACTCAACCCTTGAGTTGGATTGTTTGTAGTTTTGCAATGGTCAAGATGATGAGAGTACTCAAACCTTCACATGTTTTTGAAGAAAAAAATTCAAATATGCATTTAGTTGATGTTACTCAAGATTAACTCCATCATTTTCAGTAAATCTGAATGTTGAGCATAGAATTACTATGAGATCAAACTTTTCTTTTGAGAGGTCACTCAGTTGATTAAGTAAGTAGTTTTGTTCTCCAGATGAATCAAAGGGGTAAGTTTCTAAAAAACTATGGTGCTGTATCGGTGGGAGAGTACAGGGTAATTGAGTGTTATCAACAGAGTTGATAATGTAAATTGGCCACCTTTATTAGAGGACTTTACTACAGAGTTTAGCACACCTATGATCAGTGCATTGACAGGAGTTTTTTCATGATTCTTTTTGTACATCTTTTTAACTACCAAAAAAAAAAAAACTTTTTTTAAACTCTATCAATATCTGTTGATGGCTTCAAAGCTTCAAGTGTATATTTTATTGACCTCCACACCCACATCCAAATATGTTTCAAGGGAAATTGGAAATCATAAAGTTATTTTATGACATTTTTGTTAGCACCAAGGAACTACCACATTACATTATAAAAATGGTATTTCTTTAAGACATAATGAATTATTGTGTTCCAAGTGAATAACTTGATTTTCCTTGCAAGGTTATACTCATTTTGTCCATCATGTTTGCTTCTATCTACAAACTGGTGCAACCTTGCAACCTTCATAAATAAATTCCCTATTGCTGTTTGGAACTGATGAAGCTAAGAACTTATTATTTTATTTAAAAGTTCCTTACTAGTATTTAAAATGTCTGTATTGCCTTTTGGCTTCTTTCTCTGCAATTTTGTTGCAGTTCAATTGGAAGGATCATTTTGTTACTTGCTATCCTCTGCTGGTCAAAAACATGATTCATTTAATTAATTAAATTAAGGGTTAGATACTTCTTGTTTATGATTCAGTGACAAATAAATGTACTTGTACCTTGCACTGAGGAATTTAAAATTCTTCATTTTGTGATGTGCTGCACTCTTGCAGTATTTAAATTTTGTGTACATGTATGTCC